AGTCTCAAGCCATCCATGAAAGCTCTCAAAGGGTAGAGCAGGAAGAACAGTAAGCACAAATTACAGCAGCAGGTGACTATGAATGGCACTATCAGATAAGGTTTTTAAAAAACACTTTATTTCTTCAAAAGAATTCAAAACAGTATCTTAATGAGATCTGCGCATACACCATGTTCATCACAGCATTATTCACAATAGCAAAGAAGTGGAAAAAACCCAAATGTCCATCCACAGTGGAATGATAAAGACAATTTGTTATATACATGTAATGGAATATTATCCAGCCTTTAAAAAGCATGAAATCCTATCACATACTACACCCTGAGTGAGTTTAAGGACATTATAATAAGTGAATTAGCCTAATAAATGATGCTATCTGCTAAGGCACTGATACCACCAGTTTCACATGGCCATGAGCCAACGATGTGTATCTGAAAGTGGAGAGAGAGGTGACTGTGGTCTCTAGAGAGTATTGCTTTGGAAGGAACATTTCTGAGCTTCCCAGAACCCTAATGGATTTAATCTTCATCTTGTTCAGTAGACACAGGACAAAGACACACTGGACATATGATAGAGGGTAAAGGACATAGGACAAAGGCACACCATTCTACCTTAATGGAGGAAGGGAACAGGGACCAACAGGGAGAAAAGATTGGGTGAGAAATGGATGGTGGATGGACAGAGATGCTGGGTGGGATATGCAGTGGTTGTCTCTCAGAGGCAAGATGTTCCTCCCATTCAAAAAAGATTCACATGCCCAGACTGATGCTCTTGCACATGCACATGACAGTGTGGAGGAGCCACTACCAACCCAACAGGCTCGCTCTCTTGGGAGCACAGAAGAGAAGGGCAGGCTCCTAAGAGGTCTGACAATGAGACTACACAGAGAGGGAGGCTGGTTTGGGGTTTCAAAATGGTTAGAGCTGGAGCTTCAGCAAAGATCTATTCATGCTGACTGAAGTTTGCATGGTTTAAATTTTTTTATTAGTGCCAAAGAAAGGGTCACCTGGGCTTTCTTATCAGCTTGTTTAGATGTGGGGCACACAGGGAAGGAGAAATGGCAGGGCTTGAAAGTTCCTGGTCATCACACGTCAAAATACTGCCAGAATCTTTATTATAAATGAGTACTAGAGTGCATTGAAGAGCCTGAACTTCAAGGGAACTAAACATAAAGGCTGCCCAGAGGATACCTTCATAATTCCTTACAGAAAGTAACAAGGGACTTTTGAGACCAAAATTCTAGTTCATACAAGATTTGGGGTTTGCAATTTTCCATGTTTCTCATTAAAATTTTCTGTCTGTTTCCTCTTAAGGTTGTCAAAAAAATTCACATAACAAAAAAGGCCAATAAAGTCATCTGGGATATGTGTGTGTATTTTTTGTGAACATTTTCTTGTGTGTTTTGTGCTTTTATCGGTTTGGAACTTAGCAGCTACCTCTACCTTTTTGGGGTCACTCCGTACTATAGAAGCTGGAAAACTAAAAACCTCATTTCCCTGATTCTCCCCGGGGGAATTTATTGCATTCAATTTGGTTTAAACACAGAAAATAAAAGTGAAACAGAAGCTACCTCTTTTCTAATGTTGGACTGTTTCTTCTGTTGGTAGATGAGATCTTGCACAGCGTTCAAGCTCTTGAGTTATTTTCTGAAGTGGTGTTCTAATATACAGCCACTAGCATTATTGGGGTTGAGAGGCAGTTGTGGGATGGCAGCAGTAACTTCCTGATCCTGACTTTCTGATCCCTGGATCATGGCTATGTTTATGGGTTCATGAACTCAACAATTCCAGTGTAGTCTGCTGATTGCTTACCAGCCCGATTGTTGCCAAACCAGTAACTGCCTGGACAGCCAGTTCTGCATTCTTCCAGGCTTTATTCCTGAAAGCCCAGCCTTTCAAGTGAACTTATAAATATCCAATTCCTTTTATTGAACTCTTGTGTGCTTAACATAACTAGACTGGTTTCTATATCCTCTTCTGAACTCTTTCTATTGTTGTGTGTTTTAGCAGAGAGAGACTGGTTGGGGACAGTTCACTCCATCTCTAGAAAACGAGTAAGCAGTTTTCTTTATAGATTTACCTATTCTTGGCATTTTAATATAATAAGTAAAAAAGTGTCATATGCTAAAAAAAAGAATTCTAAGTTCTTGTTTATAATACATTGTCCTTCAAAATGTAAAACAATTATTTATTCTCAAGAATATACAAAACTCTCCCCAACCTTTCTTTTGTAAATTAGACAATTTAGAATAAGTAATCCTGTGAAATAAGTGATCCAGAAATGTTTGCTTTATGTAATATCGATGAATGTATATTTTTTATGAAAGCAAAAATTGTAGATCAACATCTTGAAAATATCCAACATTAATTGCTTTTGAAATTTTCTGAGATGTTTAAACCTAAATAAAATAG